GTAAATTATTGTTAAAAAAAAATGCCCTTAATTAGAAATAACATTAAAAAAATTACTGGATCAAACTAATGATAAAAATGTTTAATTTCAAGTATTTAACTTCAAAGACACCCTTTATTTATTTATTTATTTATTTAAACTAGATTCACTCCAAAATAGTAAATTAAAATGACATTATCTAAGATAGAAAACAAGAAGGCTACATTATCTAAAAATATTATTTTAGATTTTTTTTTCCCAACTAGATGGAGTTACATAAAGAATTTAATATGTTATGACATGCATGTAACTAATCTTCTATTAAAATGGTTATTAATCTTCATGTTTCACCGAACTTATTTATTTGTATTGTGGCATATCATAATAAAATTCATATCAAAAAATAATTAGCTTTTAACTTACAAACTACAATATACAATTTGTATCATGTCACTACAAGAATTTACACATTTTGCGATCACTTTTGCCGACCAAAAAAATTTTGGTCTCAAAAAAATTCCATTTGCCGACCAAAAATAAATTTCGTAGCTAAAAATTCAGATTATTACCGACTAAAATTTTTGGTCGCAAATAAGTAATTTTTGGCGACCAAATTACACTATTTGTCGCCAAAAATCTGGGCGGAGAATGACATTTAAAAGGGAGCTGTGTATGCTACTTTAGCGACTAAAAAATTTTGGTCGCTGATACCAAAACGACGTCGTTTTGGTATCAAAATTCATTACCCGACCATCAGTTTGGTAGGGGATAAATTTACTAATTCAAACACACAATGAAAAAATGCTATTTACGCGCCTCTTTCACACCTCAGCGATTTCGATCAAAGCTCATTCGCGCCAATCACCTCACTTTACCATCAACCTTGCTGTCCTCCGTCTGCGCCTCCCCACCATCTGCGCCTCCGTCCCTCTTCGCCATTTCTGTTTCGTCTTGGGGATTTCTGATTCATCTACGTATTTTTTTCAACTTATAATAATTTCTCTCTGTTTATATCTCTGTGTCTCATTTTTTCTCTTTGATTCCTCATACTCGTCTTGTTCTACAATCTCTCACCCACCAGGGCCCTCACCATCGCGATTTGTCGAAGCATCTTCAACTCGCCCTAAAAATCAATTTCAGGTATAAATCCTCTGTATCACTCTCATGAACTCAGTCTCTGCCTGTGTCTCCCTCTCACTGTCAATGTTTGTGTTGATGTTTGGTACTGGGATATGTCGATTATAAGATTTCGTGTTGTTGTTTGTGAACTCCCCCAATCTATGATGTAGTAGTGTTTTTTTGCTCCTATTTCTTTAAGTATCCCTGTTTAAAATATACCTAATGAGAATATAATTTTTTGGGTGCTTTTGTAATTTATTTGTAATTTGATTTCAGAACAAATTAGTTGGTTAATAGGATTTATTCCTGAGATTTTTTAAGTACCCTTAAATGAGGCACAGGCTGTACAAGGACTTACCGTATATACCATCCTTTAGAAGTTGGAGTTGAATTTTTAAGAAGAGACAGGGTAGCACATCTTATTTTACCCAAGTTGGACTTACCATATATGCTCATCATTTTTCAGTTTGAAGTTTCTTTTCCCATTGTGCTAGCAAGTTCACAGTCATGTTCACTCTTAAGGGAAACGATAATGGTCTAAGTAATACTGTGGATCCGATTTTTTTTCATACCATGGGATGTTCGATAGATTTATATATATTATGAAATTACAGTACTATGTTTAGTAAGAGTTGGGATGGAGGAAAGTTAATCCGACGAGTACTCGTGCGAAATTAATTATGCCAAGGCCCTAAGAAATCTAACCCATGGTTTTGAGGGAGTATTAATCTGTCCGCACAACTAATCCCCTTATTGTTGAATCAAATGTGAGACATTACAAAATTATGAGACAAATCCTAAACGTATGGGGTCTTATGTTTTTTAGTTTAATACCCTAATCCTGACACAATCATGTCGAAAAGGGTAGAATATGTATATGTTTATCTTTCATCTTCAATGTTGATATGTACAAGATGTTTTGAAGCTTTAAGTTTTCAGCCCTTGAACTACTTATCAAGTTTTTATATTGTTCATCCTATAATTGCTAAGAAAGGCTTGCAAATTGCTTTCTAAATTTGCAAAGATATTTTTTCGTAGGCCAAAAAAAAATGAAAACAATATAAAAGCAATGAGACTTTTCAAACTTTAAAAACAACAGAATAAAAAGGATAAATTACGCGCAAGTATTCCTTGTAGTTTGCTCTCTGTAGTTTTAATTGACTGAATTTTAATCCCAGATTTTGAATTATGTGTCATTTTGGTCCAACTAAGTAATTTTAGGTTAAGAAACATTGGATGGAAAATTAGCATGTCATGTGATTGGTTTTCAAGAGCAAAATAGACATTTCATTCTCCCCTGTCTTTCATCTCCTTCCTCACTCACAAACAGAGCCACCAACCCACCACTGTTCCACTGCCATCAGGAGCCGGCAACCAAACAACAATCCGAACATCCATTTTATATCTGCAAGACATCATAACTATCGAAAATTATAAAACAAAATCCAATTTCCATCCCTAACATAAAAATCACAACACAAAACAAAACTAAAGATGAAAAGTATGAGATACCTTTGCCAATTATTTTCAAAAGTATTATTATTATGTAGCCCTCTTTTGGATCCCAGAAAAATGTTGGGTTATGTGTCTCATGAAGAGCTTTGGGAAGACAATTGTAGCAAGATTTAATATATATATTATGAGCCATTACTTAACATCTCATTTGGGTCATCTAGACAAGATTATTGGTTATTATTTATGGCGCCTCATAAATAAGAGTTCAGCTTATACCATTCTGTCATGCTCAGAACCGGATTTGACATATATATTTATTTGTATTTTTCATAGCCATTCATAATCTCGTGCTCTTGATTGGTTGTTTTTTATTTTTATTTAATGTGTCGATCTTCATTTCTTAGTTCAAAAAAAATGATATGAAACATGATACCAGCAAATTAAGCGTAATGAAGATAAAACACTATATGCATATTACCTATTAACCTCTTGTAAACTCTCTCTATTGTGAGTGGGAGTTTTGTACACTTACAAAATAATTAGCATATAAGTTCTTCGGCTGTGAAGCTGTGACTTTTAGGAAATGATTGCATGGGTAAAAAAAAAATAATAATCATAATATATAAAAGAAAGAAAGGAAAGAAAAACTATTAGCCAGCACCAATAATTGGAACGGACACTAAATAAATAGTTGACATGAAAAATCAACATATGAAGCATTAAAGTAATTAGTACAAAAACAATTTTAAAAATGTAATTTTCATAATTAGCTGCTGAATTCAAATGGGTGCTCATTAAGTGCTCGAAAAACAAAATCAAATGGGGTAATGATTTCCACAATAGTAGGTTGTTTGGCACAAAGAAGTTATCTCATATTAAAAATTATTACAACCTGCCCATTAAATTATTCCCAAAAATATTCAAACAATAAACAGTCTTCATACTAGTTTCACCACTGGTATATGTTTGACTGTGCTGAATGGATCACAACCTGCCCATTAAATTCTCCTTCCATCCTTCATTTCCTGGTCCATTCTAAAAAGTCCTCTCCTCTTACCTCTATTCAAATAGGAACTCAAATATAAATTTATTGAGCAATGTGTTGTTCCAAAGAAACACAAAAACTTGTGTAAAAAGAGATTGGTATCGTCATAGACTCATTTGCCAAAGGCACAATAAGGAAAATGTGTTGTTCCAAAGAAACACTTGGTAGTTTGTTCTACAGTGTTTCCAGCTCCTCCTTCCTCCTCTTCCTCTTCTTCTACTTCACTTCCATTTTTCTTGCCAAACTCTTCCACTATTGTGGCAGTCCAATCTTCCACTATTCTGTTCTGCTGATCTGTTTCCCCTGCTGTAGTGTTCCTCTGCTATGTTGATCCATAAAATAAAATAATAAAAAAAAACTCAGATTATTGCTGCGACTGCTAGTCTGTTAAAAAGAGGGTCTGAGGGTTGAAGCTGTTAGTCCTGCTAATAGTCTGCTAGTCTCTAATAGTGTTGCTGATCTGTTAGTCTGCCAATATTCTTGGAATTAGTCTTCCATTGAGTGTAGCTGGCTGCTTTTGTTGGGCTACTTGAACTAAATTCTCGACATACATTAAATGTGTTTAGTCTAATTATATGAAATTGCTGAGATATGTTGTATGTTTTCCAAATTAATAGTGTAATTTAGGTATTTAAAAACAAATGTTGTTCATGTATGTAGAATCAGCTCTTTTACTCTGCTGATTTTCAACTCTTGGCTGCGTTAGTTGGTTTGATTGTGCTCTACAGTGGCTATTGGCTGTTTTGTTTGTTGGTTCTGTTGCTTCGCTTTGTTTGTTGGTTTCTAACCAACTGAAGCTTGGAGCTTGTGCTAGCTCCAAGCTCCTCTTTATTGAAGGATCTTTTCATACTTTGGTTGTATTCATCAATAAAGTTTTCTTTTGCTTATCATTTAGCTAACGAATATTTGTTACGGTATCCATGTTAGCATTGTTCTTTTGATTGCTTTGTTTCATAAGGGAAACATAAGTTGTTTCATTTGGTGTGGAATTGTAGATCCTTATTTGAATAATTCTTAATGTAGCAAGCATTGCATGCTTGTAGGTTGCTTAATTTAGTTTATTTTATTTTCATTTTTGTGAATCTCTCCTTCCCGTTACTGTTAGGAAATTTCATTTTGTAGTTTCTAACACTTTCTGTAATATTATGTAGATTAATTATTGTAATGGTTGTCTTTAACCTTTCAGATGGCCCAAATAGACAAGGGTTGGATGACAATAAAAAATAGATTAAGCACTAGGGAGTATCAAGAAGGGGTGAATTCATTTATTGAATTTGCGATGAGAAATGTAGGCTTGGAGGATAAGCTTCGGTGTCCATGTATTGATTGCTTGAACGACAAAAAACATACGATCCACGTTGTTAGGATTCATTTGATTCGAAGAGGGATATCTCTTTCTTACATGACTTGGGTGCACCATGGGGAACTTGTTCCCGTGTTTGAACCTCACATACCGAATTCAGGTCACCATGACATATATAGTGAAACTGTAGGGGAAGATCAAGATGACGGGGATGATTTGCCGACTATGTTGGAAGAGGTTTGTAGGGGTTTTGCAATGGATGATGAAGGGGATGAATTACCTACTACTTTTGAGAGTGTGGATGGGCGAAACTTTGATAAGTTATTTGAAGATGCTCAACGTAAACTATACCCGAAATGCACAAGGTTCACAGTGTTGTCATTTATTATTAAGATGCTTCACATTAAGGTGTACAACAAGTGGAGCAATAAGTCATTTGATATGGTTATGAAAGTTTTCAAGGACACTCTACCTGCGTGTGATGAGACTGTTCCATGGACCATTTATGGTGCGAAAAGATTCTTACGTGACTTGGGTTTGGGCTACGTTCCCATTCATGCTTGTAGGTATGATTGTGCACTATTTTGGAAGGAGCATGCACATCTTCATAATTGCCCCAAGTGTGAAGAGCCTAGATACAAGTTGGACAACGGAAAGGGTAAGAAGATCCCTCACAAGATTTTGAGGTACTTTCCATTGACACCAAGATTGAAGAGATTGTATATGTCCAAGAAGACCGCTACAGATATGAGATGGCACAAGGAGAAACGTGTGGATGATGGAATCTTGAGGCATCCAGCTGATGCTGAGGCATGGAAAGACTTTGATCGGCAACATCCTATGTTCGCCATGGATCCACGAAATGTAAGGCTAGGGCTCGCCACCGATGGTTTCAATCCATTCGGAAATATGAGCACATCATACAGTATGTGGCCCGTTATCCTAATGCCTTACAACCTCCCACCATGGAAGTGTATGAAAGAGCCTTTCTCCATGATGTCATTGCTTATTCCTAGACGATCGGCTCCTGGAAGAGATATCGATGTTTACTTACGGCCATTGATTGAGGAGTTGAAGGAGTTATGGGGGGATGGGGTGCGAACTTATGATGCGAAAAACGAAGAGTCATTTAGAATGCATGCTGCACTGATGTGGACCATCAACGACTTCCCTGCATATGGTAACATGTCCGGGTGGACTACTAAAGGTTATTTGGCTTGTCCCACTTGTAATGAGGACGCATCATCACAAAGGTTAACAAGTAAGATAGGGTACATAGGTGCTCGTCGTTTCTTGCTCGAGAACCATAGATGGCGAAGGAGCAAGTTGTTTAACGGACAAAGTGAGGTTAGGTGCAGACCGTTGGAGTTATCACGGGAGCAAATATTAGACCAAATTGAGACTGGGACATACAAGCCATTTGGAAAACATCCAAATAATAGAAAAAGACAAAGGGACGAAAATCCAGTGCTGAATTGGGCAAAGAGAAGCATTATGTTTGAATTGCCTTACTGGAAGACGCTTAAGCTTCGACACAACCTTGATGTCATGCACATAGAGAAGAACATTTGTGACAATTTGATGGGGACATTATTAAATGTGGATGGGAAGAACAAGGACACAGAAAAAGCACGGATTGATTTAGCAAATTTAAAAATTCGGAAGGAGTTACACCTACAGAGTCGTGGTGATGGGTCATTTGTGAAGCCTCCAGCTGTGTACACATTATCCACGAAAGAAAGACAAGGCTTTGGTGCTTTTTGA